TTTTTGTCACCGTTGTGCTGTCAATAAGCATTGGATAGAAAAATACAATATCAACACTTTTATCCACAGCGTTAGTCTTTATAAATCCGAACAATGCATAAGTAAGACATGTATGAATATTAATGTATTCTTTATTTTTTTACTTGGATTCGTTTACACGACCCCTCCCGCAAAAAGAACAGACCCACCCTTAGTGCAATGACGTTGAACAACCATGCGCGCCACTGAGATTATCGTCTCTGTAGACTTGTATCTAAAGCGACGCTGGCGCCATGAATGGAGTACGTACATAAATAATAATCTTCATATTTTCAATTATACAATCGATACGATACTTTTTGATTTGTTTTTATTTTCATCTATATTATATTTATTATAATACAATTATTGATTTTTAAGAAGACGAAAATGAGAATAATTATAATTCTCAATGACTTTTTAGTTTGATTTTTTATGTTAAATAATAATACTACGATTTCTTATTGTAAAGTTCGTTTTCATGAAATTGCATTGTTCGACTTATGCTCTTTTTACAAATATGTACAAGTTTTCAAGTATGCGTTTAAAACTAAACAAATGTATAAGTGCGTAATAAAGTCTTTAGCATATGTTCTGGCATTTGCGCATAGTTGTAATCCTCGGAAACATGAAATATGAAACGATATTTAAACAAATAGAAGCATTTATTCTACACAATTGACATATATGGAGCTTGGTATCATTTAATGCTTACTAATATAATAATTTAATGATACACAGAAATTTCATAAGATAAAGTATGTATAATAGATACATTTTATAAAAAATAAGAAAGGTTATTTAAAACTAACCATAATGGAACAATACATTTTGATGTTATAACATTACAATTATTCATGGTACATGTATCTGTTTATAACATGTTGCATTTAATGAAAGAAAATTTGATACAAGTTTTGTATTAATCATATTAAAATTGCTATATAATTTAAAATAATGGATAGCTTATCCGATTCATTCAAGGGGGAATTAGATTCTGTTACATCAACAGATTCCCTACAATTAATAGCTGATGAATTTCATATTAGGCATTTATCAACACCTGATGTTTCTAACATAGAATTATCAAAACGTGTTGCATTATTGGAATTAGAAAATGAACGACTCAGAATGGATTTAGAAAATATGCGTATCGAACTTAATGCCAGAATTGCAGCTAATGAAGGACTTAAAGGAAAAATAACAGAATTATATGTAGAAATGCAATTAGTTATTCAAGAGAAACAAAAATTACAAAATACTTTAATAGATGTAAACAACCATTTAGATGCATCTGAAGCATCTGCAAAATGGTATCAATCTCAAGTGCATGGTTTACAAGCAAGCAAAAAAACTTTGCAATTAGAAATTGATACTTATCAAGCAATTTTACAGCAAAGACAACAAACTATTGCAAACATCAATACTAGATATAAGCAACTGAATATGGAATATATCAAACTTCTTCAAATGCATCAAAAGGAAAAGCAAGATTTAGAATATCAAGTACAAAATTTAAAGATACAAAATCAACCAAACAGTATTTTAGAATCATTAGATATTAGTACATCTAGTTTTCCAGATGTATCAGCAAAGTTAGAGTTGACAGAAGATGAATTAAGAGATACAAAGACAGAATTAAAAACATTAGAAAAACGTCTTTTGGGCAATGAAGTTTCCAAAGCATTAATGGAAAATTCTTTAGCTAAACAACGTGTATTAATATCAACTATGGAAGAAAATATACAAAAATGTGAAACTGAAAAAAATCAAACTGCTGATGCATTACGTAAAACACAACTTGAAATTCAAAAATTAAAGTCTGAAAATGAAGTATTGCAAACTGCTCTGCTTTCTTCCAAACAGGAACAAAATCAGATAGAAGATGCAATCTTTCAGTTACGATTACAATTAACAAAAATGATAGCACAATATAAGCTTTTAAAAACAAAAAATGTAGAAGGAGAGGATAAATTGAATTCAATGGAAGATATAATAAATGAAAATAAACGCTTAAAAACATTATCATATGAAGTTAATACTGCTCTTATTAGAAAACTTCGACAAGAAAAACGAAAAGTTAAAAGCTTGGAACATAAACTTCATGGTGTACAAGTAATGGGACATTTAAGCAATATGGTATAGGATATTGCTTTATAATATTTGTATAAAATTATAATAATTTAGTAAAAATATATGTAATCATTTTATAATTATCTTATTTCAGAAAAACAAAATGGAAGTTTCCTTGCATGAGTGCTTAAAACAGGTTTTAATGAGAAATAAAGTAATATTTGTTAATCGTTGTTTGTAATTAATTATTTTATTCTTGATAAAAAAAATTAGTACTAATGATATTTTTGTCTTTCAGGATTTAAAAAATCAATTGAAGGCACTGACAAAAAATTCAGATGAAAGTATTGATGAAGGGTATGGTGACAACAGTATTGTTAGTTCTGTTTCTGTAGACATTCCATCACCAAATTCCATCAATCCAGTATTATTAGATGCAGCTTCTAGTGTGTTGCTACAATGTAAGGACTTTTGTAAACCAGTGCAAACAGAACTTGAACATTTAAAAGTAAAACTTAACAAATTAAAGGAACAATACATTGTATAGTATTAAATTATTTTGTTGACCATTAAATTATTTTTACTTATTAATTTATATATTGAGATATA